GTTTTATTGAGTGATTCATATCGACATTGAACAATTCAACGATCTAATGAAGTGACTCTCTAAAAATGATAAATTAATTTTGCGAGAATTGCGACGATTGTCCAGAAATCTCATGTGACAAGAGGAGTCCTGGTAAAAAAGATGATGCTCGATTTAATGAAGAAAAGTAACGGAAAGGTGGTTGCTTGCACCGGAAACAGCGCGATCGATTTGCAGTCTGGCCAGTAGCCAAGCCCATTATGCAAAACAGGACATGATTATTCTATAAAAAATAAAAATAAAAGAAATAAACCATGTACACAATAATAAATATTAGACAAAAACTAACATTCACATTTCGAAGAAGATTTTTTATATATCATACTTTATATATTATTACAAATTAAAATTTGAAAATAGATGAAAAATAAGCTTATTTTTCCGTAGAAATCATATTCTTAAATATATGAAAAGATAATCATACAAATTTAGCGTGGAAAAGAAACGATTAGCCTTTACATCTACATTTTATTTAACATTTCAAACTATTTATATCCCTTTCCTATATATGCGACAATAATTATATAACTAATAGATTTCGCACAACTCTCTCATCGTTTCATTGTTACTACTCCTTGAAAAAAGAAAAAAAAAAACGTGAAAGTTGCCAACGTTAACTGAATCACCCTGTACATCAAGGTGAGTTCCACATCGCTTCCGGACGGCATCTTACAATTAGATCTAATTGTTGATACCGCTCGACGGATGTGTAATCAGCAAAATAGCTTCCAGATAGCTTCCTATGAAAACACGGTTGTCCGAGGTGACGCGCGAGCGCGAGAAACAAGCTTCCGAGTCTTATCTATCGACAATCAGGTCCATATTCGAATCCCTCTTTGGCGAGGCCCTTTCTCTCTCTCTTTCTCTCTCTCTCTCTCTCTCTCTCTTGCCAGAAAGATCTCGATGACCCTAAACTAAACGCGGGCGTGCATACGCGTAGTAACGCAATCGCGGTAGTTGCGTGCGTGCATGCGTGTCACACGAGCGTGACGAGCGCGAACGTCGCGTCGCGACTTCCGCGATTGACGTAGGATGCGAGAGTTCACGTGAAAAAATCTCGAAAGGGGTCAAATAGGGTCAAGGATCAGGTGGGACTTGGACGCCACCCGCATCTCTACTTACTGCTTCGCAGATCGCTTTTGATAATCGGTCACGTCACATCCGTGAATACATACACATATAAACGCACGCACACATACACGCGCTCGCGCGCGCAAACACACGCCGAGCGATGGTTATCTCCTACGCATTCGACTTGGCGGGCGAGATGAGCTTTCCGTCGCGTCAGCAACTTCACGGCGTCTCGCGGACTCGGATGTGCGATTTCTCAAGCGGAGGACGAGTGACGTCGCGCGCGAACGCGCCGTTCGCCATCCAGCGTTGGACTGGCTCCTTTGTTTAGTAAACAGAAACAGCTGAGCGGCCGAGCGGTGGAGGTGGTGGCGGCGGCGGCCGCTACTCCAATATCGACCGCATCGCGCGTGCGCGATGCCCGCGGTCGCGGTCACGTGGTCGGGAACTGTCACGTGGTCGAGAACGGCCGATGACGCGCACACGCGAGCAGTCGCCTTTAAACTGCGAACGCGAAATGGTATCTGGTCCGAATTTGGAGTTGTGTAACTCGAAATAAGAGATACATGGAACGTCAAACTGTCGGAATGTCCTTCCAGCAGCGAATGCGGAAATTAAATGTAAAGGCTTTTGCAGTTTTAAATCCTGGATTGTAAAAGGAAGGTTTGGGGATATACTTTTCTTTAGGAATACTTGTTATATCTTTTTTATGATCCGAGATCAATCTTTAAACAACTTGGGTTCCCAATTTTTTATACTCGATGTCTTGGATAACATCGTCTTATGTAGAGAATAAATCAGCTGATTTATCATCGTTGATGCACGCGATAAAAAATACAAAATCACATGTAATCCAACAGTCTCAAAATTTTGTCAAAGTAGAATATATGCATACGATGCATATATATTTTACTTTGAATCAGCTTGAATGAAATATACGAATCTGTATTGTAATCTACATTTTTTGGAAATGTAAAAGTCATTAAATTCAAAATATCCACTGTACCCACGCGAAGAGAGATATAGATATATATTAGAGGAAATTAGAGGAGAATAGCTCTATTATAGAAACAGATTACATAAAAAATTATGTCGGAAATGTCTATTTAACGTAGTTGTATCGTTTTATTTTGTACTTACGGAAGCATGAAGATTAGAAGAGCATTTCGCGCGATTGCATAGTCGAACACGTAGGGGGACCGCTTGATCGGATTATAAAATTTAAATGTAGAAAAAGGACCGAGAGAGAGAGGATGAAAAAAAAGTTATACTGTATACAAAAAATTTAGACGTATGGCATTTTCCCGAAGCAATGTGAATGTGATTACTATCGAGGGGAAAGCGGACAATCAGCGTTGGCATGGAGACTTTTTATCACATTATTCTGTGTATTTTAAGTATTTTTTTTTTTCTATTCCTAGCTTCTATGATAGAGTATATATCAGTGATGACGTATCGAGTCACAGTGTGTAGAATTGCCCTATTATATACTTTATTACATTTTTATTATAATTTTCATAACATATCTATATATTTTTTCCCTACCACGCACACTTATCAATCATGTAATTAAATATCAGCTTGACAATTAAGGACGATTAACACTTTCAAAATTCTTTGCTTCAATTTTCTGAATTCTATGAACATAAACAGAGATGCAACATGATTGTAAAATTATTATTGTTGGGAAAATACAACTTTATACGTCATTAATTTTCATCCCTTAAATAGCCTTATATTATTTGTCGATACATAGAATTTTTATCACCGGTACCATCAGAGAGTTAACAGTGTGTTACATTTACTTCGTCTTTGCTTTCTAAAATGTCTATCACACGCTCTCTCTCTCTCTCTTTCTTTCTCTCTCTTTCTCACATTTATAAATTATTGTACACGCCGAAGAATCCTCTTGAAACGTCTCTGCTGTTCATCTTGTTACTCACATGTGTAATCATGTAATCACTAATGTAATAATTAGTATTAATTAGGTTACACAATTAAGGTAATAGATACATCTATGAAATACATTATATAAGTGCATTATATGTGTGTTACATATACATACATATACATGTGTTTATGAATTAATTAGAAATCAGAGGTACTCCAGGCGTTTGGTATATTTCTTCGTTTGCTTGCAGCGGGTTATTAGTATTATTATATATATGTGCATTATATATTATTTCGATCATCATAAAGAGGACTGAATGATGATCGAACAGATTGAGAGAAATCGGAACAAAAAAAAATCTTCCTCTACATTCTCTACGTTATACAATTCACTTGCCGTTAATTTACGTCAATTCGCGGACTCACGCGAGCGAGAAACGTACACGCGTAACAGTTACAGGAATTATCGACATCATATTTTTAATATTATGCGGTCATGTAACGAAACTAATTAACTCTTGGTACTCATCAAAAATTATAGCCGCTCGTAATTCAAAACGTGAAATCTGTACGAACTATAATAATTCGTGTTCCTAAAACAAAAGTTTTCCAAATGTTTAATTCAAGTTTTTTTTCTGACACTATTTTCTGTATACCTTCTTCAGGAAATCATATTAATACCAAAAAGTCCTTTAAGTCATATTTAATATTGTTTGTTCTATTTTTATTATTTCTTAGAGGTTTGTCGATTGTTTAACTTATCTCTTATCAAGTCTTTGTCCAGATCTCTTTTCCGATAGAATGTCGTTTTATTAAAACGATATAATTAATATAAGAGATAATTAATATAAGATAATTTATTAAAAAAGATAATTCTAATAATTTTGAAATTTCTATTTTCTAGAAAAATAGATCTGAATCATTAAATACTTAAGATATTCTCTTGAGTATTTTTGTCTTATATGAAGAATATATATTGCACAATTTGTTTAATTCAATCAAAATTCCTGTAGAAAGATGCTACGGTAATAATTATTCGCATAACATATTTTTCTCTCGTTACATCATCGTTGTAGCAATCGCAGAAAGTCTATATCCGAATTACAATTTACGGAAATGTTAGAGGCTAGCGTTATATTATCACCATTATATATCGCGTTTCTGACAACGTATTATTACGCCATAAATCTTACGCAGGAAGAGAATTGCTGGCCACCTGGCCACCAATCGAATCCTAGTCAGATTATTATATACATTGTTATGTAGAAGTTTTCACGCTTCTGGTAACTAACGGTAAGGAAATTTGCAACAAATGAATGACTCGATTTGATTTCGTATGATAGTATTATTCATTTTTTGTCATTATTGTATTTTTAAAGTATATTTTGATGTTTTCCAGGAAACACGTTTTTTGTACCAAAAAATAGCAATATTATTAAATGAAATTACGGTTTTTTTTTTGCCAAAACGATCGTGACTTTTTCAATTAGTTTTTAAAGTATATTTCGATGTTTTCCAGGAAACGTTTTTTGTACCAAAAAATAGCAATATTATTAAATGAAATTACGTTTTTTTTTTGCCAAAACGATCGTGACTTTTTCAATTACACGCGTGTTTCTGGAACCGTTAATTTTACAATCGCATTGCTTATTATTCGTGTTATTTCTCTCTGATCTATTCTTTTTCATATAAAAGCGTAAACAGATTTTTAATATAATAGGTTACGTACAAATTCTGTTAATTAAAAATTGAAGAAATATTGGTTTTTATACTTTCATATTGTGAGAACTTATATGTATATATGCATATATCTCGTACACAGTATATGTTCTCGAATTGTTTGAAAGCACATTCGCGAGAGAAACATTTTTTGTCAACCTTGTTTATAAATCTAAAAGTATAGCATATTAAATTGGTCGAAATTTGCATGCGAATCTTCTACATTTACTCGCGTAGCTTAGAAGGAACGCGTGCTGTGTTCTATAAAAAGCTCTGGTTTACGATATGTAACGTAAGTTATTTATTCGATCATGTCTGTATACATTACTGCTTGCCACGATGGAACAAAGTGGTACACATACGTTTTTCAGTTTTTCGTTTGCGTTGATATCGATTAACCCTTAAATGCTATCATCCGCTGATTTAACATGCATTGTCACAAGTAACGCGTAATTACACAACATCAATATTAAATTAATAACACGTGTCATTTTTTTTTTATATTAATACTTTTTGATCCTATATACTTAATCTTACTAATCTAAGAACCTATGAACTTTGAACACATTTCGAATTTTACATGAGTTCAATATTTTTGGCAAAATCTTTATGAGACAATGCGTTTTGCGATCGAGAAAACAAATCTTTGAAAATTATTCAGAAAAACTTGACACATCGGTAGCGATATATGTATAATCGCGCTTAACATTTTAAATATATAGAGACGAGAGAAAAATATACATTATGCAACATAAATTTTTCTACTGACATTAGCTTTTTTCTCATTTACTGTCGTGGCAAATACATTCGCATTGCATGAAAAACCGCAATGAAGCTTCCCTCGATGATCTCATTTAAGGGCAATCGAGACGATGCAATGTTCTCCAAAGAAAACACATGTTACTCTCTTAACTACGTACACACATCTGCCACTTATCAAGATACATTCCATTTTTCATATTTCCTACTCTTAAATCTTACATATCGTTCTCACAAAAAAGCGCGACTAAACTTTATCTTTACAGACTTTTTTTACCTGTACAGAACATTTTCTTTTTTTTTTTTCAATACGATAAGAGGACAACGGTTATATAATATATATTCTACTTGTTCCTTTACAATATTTATTTCTTATGACAAATATTAGATCAACGGAGTTTAAATCTATTGTCCACTCTATACTTGATTTCTACTTGATTTATTATACGGAGATAAATAATGCTTTTCCTCTCAAATGGATCGATGAATGTACGCACATGACACATTTATATATTATCGCAATGAGGGGGAGTTGTGATGCTAAATTTTTGCGTCTACTTCCAATTATTCCGCTGCATACACGCTAACATCAAAAAGCTATACTTTTTTTACAGAAGTATAGAGAGTACCATCACATTTGGCGAAACTGTAGCTCTCGATTTATATATCATACTGTTATCGATAAACTCGCGTGATTGTATTAAAATACAATTGTAAATGAAATCAACAGATTGTATTATATAATGTGTCGTTCATAAAGCGTGACACTTTAGAAACTTTAGAGAGACGATTTATATAACATTTTCATAACTTTACGCGTTTGTCTTTCTCATGTTTATTTTCTTTCTGTTTAGAATAGAAAAACTATCAGAGAGGCAAAAACGTATGCAGAATCATACAAACAACAAACACGTGGCAAGTGTCAACTTGTTTTTTCGTTAAATGTTTAAAATTTAATTCACATCACGTACGATTTCCTCTCTCTCTTTCCGCCACTCATTCTCTTCCAGAATCATCGTAAACACATCGGAGCCGCGCTCTTATTCGCTAACTCTACTCTTACCCTTTCCTAAAATCTATACATGCAATGTTTAACTGTACTTTATATGCTTTTTTGCTTAGATACACGAACGCCGTTTCTGGATCGCACGACGGTACGATTATGCGTATTTTGAGATCACGAGCTGGAAACGTCACATATTGGCGCAGGCCCCTGCGAAGGGGACATCTGCCCAAAATCCGTTTAAGACACCAAATTCAAATAAACCATGACACTGTAGCTCGAAAAGCTTTGCAGTGTTTCAAAGAGCGAGGAGCATCGTTGAATCCGATTTAGGTTTGTAGAATTTCTCTCGCGTACTCTCTTAAAAACTTTCGGGACACCGTGATAAGTTATTACACATAAACATTTTTTTTATATTTCAACAAAGAAAGAGAGAAGCCTCTTTGTTATATAAAAAAGAATGAAAAATTTTCGAATATTGAAATTATATGACTTGTCAAGAATCGCGGGAACATAATTAATGATATTTATTTTGATAAAAATTGCATCAAGTAAAATAACAGATTGTAGTATATCTTTTGTGCTGTCTTTGATAAATTTGTTTCTATCTTTTGTTATATAAAAAAATTGTTTTTTTTTGTTTCTGTTAAAAATGACTACTTTTTATTTACACGAAATATTTCGCGAATCAAAGGCGCGATTTGATGAGACATTTATATAGAAATATCAGAAATTTATACGTCGCCGAGGATCAGAGTAGCAATCAACAACTGGCGCGAATTACTATGGCTTGCTTGTGGCTATCTTTATATATTAGTACTCGCTGCCGAATGACGGAAGTTACACTTATAATCTAGAACCTTAATCTACATCTTATTAAACTAATGTACGATCGACGGTATGTCCGTCTGTGTCGTACGGTTCTCTTAATAGCTAGGGACTAGAATCAACTCTTCTGACCTTTCTTGCAGGTTGAGAACGTGTCAACGAAAAATTCAAAACATAACTGAAACTTACGTCTCTAATTGTTTCAATATATATATATATATATTGAATATAATTAATGTCTTAATGTCTACTAAACGTACGACGAGAGTATTTTATATCTCATGGTTAATTAATGGAGATCTCTCTTTATATTATGTACTCTCGCTCGAAATGTCACGTATAATTATGCCACTAGTACAGTAGATCTTAATCCTAATATTTGGTGATGCTGCTTTTCTGCCACAAGTCGGTACCATGCGCACCGACCGGAAAAAGACGAAAGTAAAACGATAACGAAAACGGAAACTTACACTTCTAGAGATTGTACTATAACTAACGCTACAAGCACTTAGATATTATTAACGCTTAAATAACGAATATCATTAAAGACTAGACGTATTCTCTCTCGCAGTCTTACGAATTTATCGCATTCTCGTTGAGCTAGTATTACGCACACACGATGGACACTCCAGTGTTGTAAAATTATCGATACCTCATATATTATTGTTGCCCGCACGCTATCCTACAGAAAATTTTATATAACGCACACACACGAGTAAATTGATTTATCTACTTAATATCTATTAGCGACTAGATAACGGTACGCGTAGATCCTCTATAAGCTCAAAAAACAATGGGATATGCGCTATAAAACCATAACGGCATCTAACAGATCATTGCTCTCTGATCGCAACGACAACGTCATTTAATGTCATTAATCTTTCTCTTTGCTGCGGATAATATTTCCTTTAAGTAATTTATGGACAAATTCGATAACGTTATCTTATTAATATTCTGATGTTGAAATAATATGAAATTAAAACTCTTAAAATATTTGAATAAAAATTTTGTGTTATGTGTAATGATCAATTTGTAATCTATGATATTTTGTAGAGATTCTCGTGATAGATTCAAACGATAGATCTAAATAATTTTGATGCAAATTTTTGGACGGAAAATAAAGTGTAATATTTACGATCCGACCGTTTAAAAAAGCACGCGACTGTTCTTATCAATAATGGATTTTCATAGCCACGGTGGCGAGAGTATCGAGATAAGTCTTTGAAACGTCATCATGAACCCATGTCATGAACACAAAGCTTTCCACCGCGAGTGTTACGACTTAACAAGCTAAATGGAACGAAAAAGCGGTATTGTCCTTCCATTTTTCACAAGTTATTTTCTCTTCTTACTTTACTTCTCATTATAATCACTATAATTATTGCGCTCGAATACGGACGAGATGTATCATAAATCGCCTGCTTGCAAGATTATTTTTCAACAAATGATGATTACAGATTAAATCGAGATAAAAACATCCAATCTTAATAAAACCATATAGATGTGAAAATTTCCGAAAATCGAGGTTAATCTTTTTTTATTTTTTGTTTTTTTCGGGAAAAAAATCTCGAACGATTTATTCTCACGATCTATGTGACTCTGATCGTACAGTTTTAGGATAACTGATGTGTTTTTTGCGCGCCACACTTTTGAAGATGCTTCCTGGTAGATCGACTAATCTCAGATCTTTGCTGACCTGGTTCCATTTTATTCGTCTATAATTTCGAACGTTAACTTAACGCGCAAAGCCATTACGTTTATCGCACACACGTGCAGAACGAAATTATCGCAATTTACCGGCGATTTACAAAACATCCCCGCGTTCGCGCGCACATTTTCTCTTTGTATACAGATTAATACATGAAACAGTATTTATGTTCACGTCTCTTATAAACGACTAGACTCGGCCATATGCGATTCTTCACCGATCTCGACTTACGTAACGTGTTCTCTTTAACTCTCTCTCTCTCTCTCTTCCGCTCCCGCTCCCTCCCCCCCCCCCCCCCCTTCGTTCTCTTTCGTCTCGGTATGCACTAATTAACACGGATGTTCGATCCAGCGACCGAGATTACCCGCATTAATCCGAGGAGAAGGAATCGGACTCGGCCGCAGCGTCGGACGCCTCGCTATGAGTTTCCGGCGTGCTTTCCGGTATCTTCTTTGCAATCGTTGCCGCAACGTACGCATTCGGCCCATCGCCCTGCGTATGCTCGATCCCCACCCTAAGCAATGTTTAATAATGTGGCATTATCCGGAAATTCGATAGAAAATAAAGTATCAAATTTGATAGTAGGCGCAGATTGATACATATTAATATATAAACGTTTGAACATAATGGGCAATATTTAGAAAATTCTTGCTCCATATAGTTTTCAGTGTCAAGATAAAATCTCTGGACCTACCTGTATTCGTGACGCGATAAATTACGGACATACTTCTCCGGAGGCGAATCAGTGTCGTTATTTTGAAGACTGACGCTCCTCGCGGTGGTATGGGAGACCTGGGTCGCCGGCATCGTGAACTCCACGTAACAGTACTCCGAGAGATTTTCGGGGATCTGATCATAGGATGTGAGAGCCATACGGCAAACCAGCTGATGCGTCGTATACGCGCCTGGAAATAAAACGAAATTGGAAGAGAGCCAACAAAACTGACTGCGTGATGATTCGAATACGCGGTATATTCAAACTGCAACTTTGCCTGATATCTCCATTCGCGCCGCGTCTTTTTATATACATAGAACCTAAATAAATGTTTTTAGTTTTTATCAAATATATTATTAAAATATATTATTTAGATTCTCATAAAAGAATTAAGTTTTATCTCTTTACGATATATAAAAATTAAATCGAAATAAAGCGTAGACATTTTTTACAAATATTAATTAAAAAGTTTAATAAAATCGACCAATTTTTCTAAATAAAAAAGATACAAATAGAGAATACCTTGTCCCTCTTTAGGCAGCCTAGGCATTCTCCATACGATAGCGCGATGCTGATGTTCGTATTTCGCCTGACCGGAAGTGACCTCCATCAATTGCGGTTCTAACGTGTCAACGGCGCCCAAGAACCTCTCGATACCCTTGATCTTTCCGGTTCTCCTGTGCGCTGATTTCACCGAGCCGTACCTGAAATGCTTCTCCACTCTGAAGAGGTAAATCCAGCATTCGGGTATAGGAAAGCGAACCATCACGTCTTCGCATGGTATTTGGCCCAGTTTCCTGGATGCGAAACCCGGCACGAGAATATCCGCTCTCAACTCCACCTAATAACACGTAAAAAGAGATCAGGTGAGCTATGACTGCAGAAACGCAGAAACCGGGTTGAAAGATACGAAGAAACTTTAACAAAAATTTGTATCGAACTTTTATCAATGATATATTTTTATAATAAAATAAAGAGAAAATGTATAACAACCCCGATGGAAGAAAGGTACAAAGATGTATTTGTTAAAAGCAATGAAAACTACAAGTTTTTAAACTTCCATTTCTATAAATATCGGGAGGAGAAAAAAGTTTATATTAAAAAATTATGGAAAAAGAAGCTTACCTTGTTCCCAGTAATGCACATAACAGCTTTTAACTGAAGCGGCAACTCTCTGTTTTTAGGCGGTCTTACACGGAACCGCATCAATTCAATGTAACATGCATCAGGCGGCTTGAACCTTAGGATGTGTTAGTGCAGGTTTAATTATAAGTTGAATTTACATGCATATTTTCGGATTAGAAGATAAATAAAATCGTATTAATTTCTTAAAGTAAGGATATTATATTTTATCTATAGCGTCCACATACATATGTAAAAATTTAATTTTATTAGGAATCATTAAAGTTATTAGCAAAGTCGCATTTTTATCGCAATAAAATTGCAATGATATACGTACTTGATTATTCGTGATTTTTCGTACTCGTCCTGTTGCACGCAGGAATGGAACTCGACGTTCTCCAGGCGAATCCATTCTTCCGTTACGACCGGGATAATATCGTGTCTGCCGACGACTTCTTTACCCTGTCGCCACATATCATTTATTCCTAATTCTACGTCGGGCATACCTAAAAAAGGGATCGAACATTTGTAGATAGATTAGATCCGAATGAGAAAAAATAATAAAAGAAGAGTTATCATAACGTAATTTATGCGAGGAAAAAAAAAACATTATCATATACGCATGTATTCGTGATTTTTGAGGAAAACCTACCGGAAAGGAACCCCAGGAAGAAGAGACGAACGCGTGCAATCTGTTTGTCCACGTGACCCTCCGAACTCTGCTCGACATACAGCTCGTCTACGACCGTTATCTGGACTTCTTCCGTTTTGTAAGTTAATGCTCGATCTCGGTGCACCGATAACCTGAAGAGAGCCTCCTCGATAGCATAAGAAAATTGTTTCATGTCCTCATAACATTGGGAACCAAGTTTGAATAGCTGTGAGATCTGCGAAACATATAATGGAAATTTATATATGCTCATAATTTTAATATTATAATTAATAAATATAAAATGTTTAATTACTATATTTTTTGATACAATATGAAGTATTTTAATGTTTTCAATATTAAAAAATAAAATAATTTACCTGAGGTGCGTGTTCAACAGGAAGACCCAGTTTCTTCAGATCACTGCCGAACTCTTTAACGCCTTGGTAATCCCCTTGTATAGCGTATGCCGCAAACTGGCTGAGTTTGTTCGTGATTCTTTCTGCTTTCGTGACCTGACCGGGTCGCACGCCCGGCCTCTCCTTGTAGAAGATGTACTGCAGCTTCACCGTAAAGATCTTTCCGTACTGATCGAATTGCTGGGCGCCGATGTCCGAAACCGAGTAACAGGAGAGCAAAGGTAATTCTTGAAACGGATCTTTGTCATCCTTATTATTAAACAGTTGGAGGATCGGACTGTCAGCCTGATAGACGAGTTTGACGAAGATCTTCTTCCAGAATCGTTGCCCTGTGATTTTCTTCTTGTTCGGCTGTCGCAACTGCATCTCCCAACCGTCGCCGGTATAAGGTACCCTCGGGAAGTCCTCGAGCGGTTGGCTAACGTCTTCGTCGAATAAGGGGGTAGGTGGAGTTTCCTAAAAAAAATTTTTTTTTTTACTTATATGTATATATATAAAATTATTGATAATATTTATTTCAGCTTAAGCTATATGACACAACACTTTTCGATTTTTTAAAATATTATTTTAGTGATGCTTGTCTAAAGAAAAAAATGTATTGCATAAAAATGTAATAATAGAGAGAATGCGACGTAATTTAGAGGAACGTGACGTAACGCATGATATTAATGCGTGAATACCTGGGAATCTGTCCTGGTCATCTCGGCTGTCTGAGCGGTTTCGGATACCACAGCATCTTGCGCAATTCCGGATTTATCGAACGGATTGAAACGCGGCGAGGAATCTGCATACGCGACCACCTGCGGACTCTTAGGCGGCGGTGCTAACGTAGGTACAGGCCCGCTTTCTGTCATTGCCATCTGATCTCCTTCTTTCGGTCTTGAATCAGATCGACGTTAGATATGCATTAATATACATTGTAGAAATAGAAGCGTTATATTTTTGAATCTAATTTGTGTGATAATTCACACAGAGAAAATGCCATGAAAATTTTTTAATTTCCAGCAATATTGAATGTCATTAAATAGTTGTGATTATTATAGACTCGAAATCTTTTTATCTCCGATTTAGTGATTAAATGATTACGTGTTTCACTCACTTGATGAATACACTGAAATCCGGTCCCTCATCCGATTCGGCGGATTCGACTCTTTTTACTTTCGTATCTACCGGCGGAGCTGTCATGCTCAGGAAGGAATCGAAACCATCGGATTCACCGAAACCGGTAATTGCCGTTTCCGAGCCAGCCACTGACGAGTCTCCCCAAACTGAAAAATATAAAATCGCGACAAGTAATTAAGTATATTCTATTCTAACTTACAACCGCCGCGTATTCCGTAGTCTACCTACCATCGCTAGAGGTGTCCATGGCGGTCGGTCCGCCACCGAAGGCATCCATGAAGGGATCCCTTCCGTTGGTTTCCGGTTCGGCGGCCTTATCAAACTTGGATGCAAAGGCGTCGAACGAATCGCCGGTTTCCTCGATTGCCTTAGTCGTAGCGGCGAAGTTATCCAGCTGCTCTTCGGGCCGGTAAGCCTCGTTGCTGGGAAACTCCGTTCCGGGGATCGGACTAGTAGAGATTAGACCGCCGTCAATCTCTTTGGTCGGTTCACCAAAGTCACCCAGCAGATCTGAGGCGAAGGCGTCTTGAACGGGCTGCGTGATCTCTGATGTCGCGAACAAGGGCTGAGCAGTCGCTGCAGTTGCGAAAGGCGCGGAAGTGACTTCGGATACGCCGAACGGCGTTGCTGTAGTAGTGTCAGTCATGGAGAAAAAGTTGACGTCAGCATTGGTAGAAACTTGTTCTCCTCCTGAATGAAAAAAAAAATACAAGTCAATTATAAATTGCTTGATTATTTATATATAAATATTAAGTAACGGTGTAGAAAATGTAATGATTTAATTAACTAATATTACTTAATTATCGTAAAAATTAATTTTTCATTTTTAATATTTTATAATTATTATTTCTCTCTTGTTCTATTTCATATTTTTTTAATCTAAGAACATTTTTTTTCTAATCAACCTTGGAAGAGTTCAGTAGCCGCTACCGACGTGGGTTGAACGGCAGGGGTGGGTTCCGTGAGGTCCAGAACACTGCCGGATTTTCCCACTTCCGTTTCGACATCCACAAAAGCACTTGCAGAAGTTATCGAAGGCCGTTTCTCGTTACTGACGGTATCCTTTGGATATTCCATTCCGAAAGCAGGTTGTGCTTGTGAGACCACTGGAAGCGCCGCTTCCTCGCTCATACTCGCGAAGGGATTGTCCTGCTTGGCGGTTATCCCGGTGAGGCTGGTAGTGCCCGTGGTGATCATGGAAGTGGAGAAGATGGTGGACGCGGTGACATCCGTGTTTGGCGCATTGAAGAGGTCCATGATGTCTTGATTGCCTGGCGGCTCATCGGCCTTGTTGTTGTCATCCGGAATAAGATCCGGCACGTTGCTGTCGACGTCCACGAGATCGGCGAAGCTGTGCTCCGGGGTAGGCGACGGGGAATGCATCAGCGTCGGGCTGGGCGTTCTGGTCATCTGCAAGCGATCTAAAAGGTGATTCGAAGTGGCGTCCATGGCACCCGTGACCGACAGTATCAGGTCTTTTGTGTTTTTGGCAGGTGGCACCGGTGGGGGTTGCGGTCTGGGTGGCGGAGGTCTCGATGGTGGTGGTTTTCCGTTCTTCGATGGAGGCGTCGCTGCTGGTTGCTGCGGTGGGCTGACAATCGGTTCTTTCTCTATCGTCGTCGTCATAGTCGTCGTCATGGTCGTTGTCATTGTCGTCGTCATCGAAATCGAGCCGAATAGATCCACATTCGTGTCATCAGACGTGCCGAAGATGTCGGACGATTGGCTAGTGAAGACGTTGGTTGCTGGCGTATTAGTATCGGTGATCGCTCCGAATCCGGCATCCGGAGCGTTACTTTCGATGCCAAAAGAGGCGAACGGATTAGTAGAGTCGGTAGACACGGCTGACGGCTCGTATGTCTGATCACTACTGAAGTTCAGAAAAGGATTTTCGCCCGCGCCAGAACTTGTTGTGTCGGCGAAATCCTGAAGAAAAGGATTGGAAGCCTGCGGAGGCAGGCCGCTCCCCGGCTGCGCCGCGTAATCGTCCATCAGGAATGGATTACCGCCCTTGGAATCCATGATCGAACTCGATGAATCGACTTAAGAAACTTCGATTAAGAATTAATTATAACGGTCGATAAAACTTGACCGAAATCTTTGGAATTATATGTTTGTCAAAATATAGAATGGACCGATTTCAGTCCGTTCGTGTCCGCTCTGTGCGATATTAGATGTAGATATCATTTGGAACAATTTTAAGTCAGTTATTCGCGAATGTTTCTTCGAAATCTTCAATTTTAACACAGAGATTACTGATAACGCATGCAACGAGTAGAGTTTACAGATTTATATAGTTTTTCATGAAGCTCCGAAGGTTCAATGTGTACACCTATGTTGAACAATTCAACAACCAGATCATTGAAAGATTTTTTTTTAAATATTGTAGAAAAAAAGCTTCTGTAAAAGTTGTATTACTTCATCAATTCTGACTCGAGCAGCTTCAGTTCAGTTCGTCCAGGTTCAATGGTCGCGAAACTTGTATCGAAAGGATCCACGTCGTTGTTTAAACTGAAGTCCTTGTTCTGAAGCGGTGTTAACACTTTATCGCCGGGATCCTGCCCGTCCAAGGACAAAAAGTCCTTGGACTCCTTTGCCTCGTCCGCCCTTGGATCAAAGTCGTCGATTTCCGGGACTATCGATGCCGGGATGGTTGGCACCACCGTGGGTAAATTGATAGGACGTGGCGGCGGTTGCTGAGGGATCTGTTCTAACTCGCTTTCCAATATCTTTAATTCTGCTTTACCGGGAAGGATGTTAGTCGCAATGGAGGTGTCGAAGGGATCTGAGTACAAAATCTCCTCCTCCTCAATGGGCTTGCTCTCGATTCTAGGTGTCAAAGGTTTTGCATCGACCTCGACCTCCGCATCTAGCAAGCTTTCTTGCCTCTGTGGTCCTTGCTTCGCGATCACCTCCTCTTCGATCTTCTGTATCAGCGATGATTGCAGCTGCGCGAGTTTTAGGCTGCTCGGCGTAACCGAAGTAGCGGTAAAGTCACTTTGTCTCCTGATCGGTTCCGCGGCGAATCTCGGATCGAAATCGTGATCGCTCAAGCTATGAGACAATTTGGGTTCCTGCTTCAGCAGCTCCGACTCGATAAGTTTGAGCTCTGTCTTGCCTGGCGCGACACTGTTGACGAAACTTGTGTCGAACGGATCGACATCTACTTCCTCGTCCTCCAACGGTAATGACTCTTCTATGGACTTCTCCGAGTAGTATGGCGTCAACGGTTTGGAAGGTAGAGTTTTCTCTTCTTCGGTGGTCGCGAGAAGGTCGGGCCTCTTTGACGGCGTTGGCAACTCGAATGCGACGGCTTTGGTCGGAGCTAGTTCGAGAACCTCCGGCCGCGAGGTTTTCCTCGTGAGATTCGTCGGTGTCGCTTCGACCTTGGTATTCTCCTCGTCAAAGTCAACTTCGAACACGGGCTTAACCGGCACGGGTGGTCTTTCAGGCAGTTGTTTCACTGATGGTTGGTTTACTGTCGCCTCATCCTTCCTCGGATTGAAGTCGTCGTCCTCGTCGTCGTTGTTGTTCTCGACGCAGCTGCCGGATTGTTCGCCGAGCAACTCCTTCTCCAAGACCTTGAGCTCTGTTTGGCCAGGTGGAAGTTCCTTCACTGCAGATGTATCGAACGGATCGACGTACGTGATCTCCTCAACTGGTGCGATCGGTTGATCCGCCAACTGGCTAAGATCGGTCGTGGAACCGCCTAGCAGATCTTTTTTAAGTAACTGTAGACTGTCATGACCGCTTCTCTGCTCCTCCTCTAATTTCAGCAAGCCAGTTTCATAATCTCTATGCAAGCCAGCGGGATCGGTCAGGCATATAGATACTTCCGAGACGGGCAGTTCTTCGAGTTCCTTCTCAATAAACTTCAGTTCCGCTTTACCCGGCAGAATATTATCCGCAAATGTGGTGTCGAACGGATCGGCCTCGTCGACAAAGGTGGCCGCTTCAAAGCTGGCCTCGATTATATCTGTTTGAAAATCGACCGTTTCGGGCTCCTTTGCGGCAAACGGATCGTCGACCTCCTTGAGATGAGCTGGTTCATCAGGCGTAGCGTTCAAATCGAATTCGGCGTCATCTAAATCAGGAATCTCCTCCAAGATAGTCTTCTCCTTTAGCACCTCAAACTCAGAGATATCTAACGGACCGTTCAAAGTTTTCTCCGCAGCTGTCGATGTTGTATCTTCTTGAAGAGGAGTGACGGGGGTGACCGGTCTCGGTAATACAGGTGGCAACTTTGTCAAGTCGACAGGAATGTCGGGAAGATCGCTATCGTCGTCCAGCAGAGTCTTCTCTACCCCCACTGGCTCCGCTACAACAGCTTCCGAAGGCTGTTCCGCCTCTTCGAAATCGTCCAACAATAGATCCTGTTGAAGTCTCGGTCGCCTTCCCTTGGTAAGCTTGCAAGTGCTCACATGATCGATCCTTCCCGATAATACCTCGACGGCATTGCCTAGGCTTACTAACTTGTTGCCCTTCTTGTCGACTGTCTTGAGAACCTTGTCGGCGTTGGTGGTGTCGAACGGATCGTCGCCGGCTTCCTCCTCGGTCGGACTATCCGGTATGTAAGCTAATTGGATATCGATATTCTGGAGAACGTCGACATAAGTGGTGTCAAAGATGTCCTCGTCGGCGGAGTCTTCCTGCTCATCCTCATCTTCCGGCACGTCCACAAAACCGTCCTCGTTGATCAACGGCTTCTCCTTCTTCTTCTTGTCTTGGCCGTCGATCTCCGGCGGCGCAGCCTCGATTGGATTACCTTCCGCGTCGAAACCCACCCACTTCTTGGAATCCTCGCCTTGTTTCGCCTCGTGCTTCTTCTCTTCCAACGGCGCTTTTCGCTGGAAGAACGAGGTGGACTTTATCCGATCGAGATCATCCTGGGTCTTTCTCAGAACCGAATCGACGCCCGCAGTCAGAGCCTGGAACTTCTTCCACTCGTCGGAACCGGCAGTCGACCCGCCGGATTCCTCAGCTTTCTGTTGGGCCTCCGCCCGCTCGCGCCGATAACGCTCGAGCTCTTCCGGATCGAATTCCTCCTCCGCGCCCTTCTTGCCCTTCTTCGGCTTTTTCTTCTTCTTCAGGCCTTTGGCTAGCTTGTGCATCCTCTAAGACCTACTGTGGTGTGCGAGAGGCTCCTGCAAACAAAAATCTAGATCATTTGGGCACGAAAATATAGCGCTATCTACGTTTTATTCAATATTATATTTTTTATCACGATAGATAGAAAAACGTATCCGCTATTGAATGAAAAATCTAAAAAAAAATTTTCTTTTTTGGTTTCTTGCAATCGAATATCTAATTACACACGTAATCGTAATTGCACAAATAGATATATGACGTAGAAATAGAAAATTTTAAATATCTGTATTTGGATATGATTAATAATTAAGATCTTTCCTCAATGTTCACACATAATATCGAGTCGTTGCAGAAACCATGATGTCAAATCACCGACTCAATTTATCATTGGAAATCTGTGTCCCGAAATAGCGACCATGTGGGATCATTGCCAAAAGAGGCCGATCGATCGCAGTGCAGTAACCGAACGTGTTTTTCCATCGTTCCTTAAGCCATTCGATAAACGAAAATAACAGTCAATAGAAATACAACGAAATAACTTTTTCAGGGTGCATTTCTCAGAGATGCTTTATGGATCGACATCAAACTTTCTTGTAAACAATCTCGTCAAAGTCGTGATCAGTTACGGCTTTAAATAGAAAACCGATAGATTAGTTATATCTTGACCGGAATTCTACTAAGATACTTTTCCGAGATACCTCATATATTTAGCAAAGTTACGCAACTTTTGATATTAGCGGTATAATGTATTTTTCAAGGAAAGAGGAATTGTTTCGAATAATGCAAAACGCACGTATTGTACAAATTATCAAATAAATAAAAAAGCGAAGTAATTTTTATAAATATTTTCGAGAATTATTTACGCGAATGATTTGCAAACTATTCTATTTTGCAAAGCTAACCGTGTAACAATTTACAGATGTTTTTCTAATCCCCATACGTCTCAATTATCTTATGCTAAGTTAAACATATCGCGTGTGTCGTGCGATAGATCACAAACAAGCGGGTTATACGCTAATATTAATAACGAGCTCATCATACGTATGCGTATTTGCATTTTAATTCGATTCGCGGATCGAACTTTGTGTCGATAGAACTTTATTAAATATATTGGCATGTGATACGCAAGGGAGAATATTAGTACAACGCGTCATCAATAAAACAATGTATGTATATGAAAACAATCTCTGTTTTCCATTTTCAGCGTTCCTGCAATAAGCTTCTAAAGAAATGAGGGTAAACTAGAATGTTAGTCTTGATAAAAGGGCGATACGCATATTAAAGAAGATGGAAGACGAGATGATACAAGTTGGATCATAAATTTTGAAACGTGACGTTTCGTCTTTTATACGTATTAATCCACATGCTATACGTTATTTTGTGTAGTAATAACGATACCCTTCTCCCATACTTCCCTGCATCCCTTACGTTACCGTCACGCCTCACTGAGCAACTCTACTGCGAAGTAGCACTTTCTACTACCCTACTGCGATGTACACATATATATAAATTCCTTCGTGTATGTCGCGAAACTATAATCGATACGTGAAAGAAGAAAAAACGAGAGAATACTTTCGCGACCGAAAAAAATTCCTTTTACACTGTCAACAAATATTAATTACAAGAAATTATAGAAATTTTACTGCTAATTAATATAAATTGTGCTATTAATATTATCATTACGCTATAGCTTGAGCTTTAAAGTAACCTTAAATCACGGCAAAGATTAATATATATGTTAAACTAGTATATATGTTAATTATTAAAACTGTAAATATAAAAGAAGACAAAAAGAAGATAAAAAGAAGATAAAAGAAAACAATTTTAAGAAAACAGAAAATGTTGAGTTTTAATATGACAGACATATAACGTCATCGTGTCACAATTGTATAGTTATCAGTATAATATTTATAAATAAACTTAGAAAGGAAAAGTAAATACTTAGTAATGAGAAATTATCGCGAAGAGTTCCTCGTATTCTTCAAGTACCTTAGCTTAGATCAGACTGATTCTATACACGTTCTAAAGCCACGCGATCGACTGTGACTTGTATCAGCGCCTCCTTCGCTTTCCTCGCAGTCAAATGGAAATTAATTATGCATCTCATAAATATTTGATGTACCTATACTCATTTCTACCTATATTCTATTAATTAAAAATCTCAATCGGCTGCAGGATCCCTTATCTCCAGATAATACGGTTCCTAATACCATTCGATCGATCGATATTATCGACGAGATGTTCCACGCAAAAGATATTTCGGAAAAATAGGAATATATAGTATTTTCGATAATGGAAGCGCTATCATTAGTCATACTACATTTTTAAAATATATCATTCACCTTTTTTCACGAACGACTCAGTTATGGAATGCTTATCTTTGAATAATAGAATTATTTAATAAGATATATTTATAATATGTTATCACAACATGATTATTGCGGCAAAGAAATTATTGGTGATGCAAGAGTTGGCAAAAGTCGCAAAACAGCTGATTTGATCTGGAAAAATCACATTACATCTGATTGTATCCGATATTCGATATATGTATATATGTAATAAAATGCCAGTATATATTATTGTATAATAATAAAAATGACTATGTGTGTGTGTATGTACAAAATATAATATAACAGCGAAAGCGATTGCGTCCGATACCCGATCGATATATGTATATATGTAATAAAATATCTGTGTGCATTATTGTATAATAATAAAAATGACTGCGTGTGTGTATGTGTGTGTGTGTGTGAAAATAGTTAACAACAAAAGCGATTTATTCATTTTTACTCACGAATGCATAAAAAGTCATATTATTTTTAGTATTTGAATGTAATTCCAATTTAGTGTTCAATGCATATCATGTAACGAGAAAGTCTTTATTTTACATATGTTGCGAGATCCTAGGTTAATGTACTTTCTAAGACTTTCTAACACTATTTTTGTTTCCAAATAATTTTATTTTATTGTTTGATGAAACATCGACAATAAAACGCAAAAAGAATTATGTACGTAACGCTATATATATAAGAGAATCGATAATAGTCTGTAAAATATATTTTGTAATTTTTAAAAATCTAATAAGATGAATATTAATAATATAAACGCATCTGTCTTTTGAATAAACCTACCCATACATCCATTCCCACACATCTCTTTGTTAATTATATATTTTCATACTTTTTTGCCGATTTCTTCTTGAAATTACTGAAACTTTTCTTGGAATCAAGTATCAGGAGAATATAATCTGCAAAGAGGTGGCATGAACTAAAATTTCAAAAAGCGCGAAAATTTGAAGCTTTGTAATCCGCAAAAATATCAGGAGAACATAACTAGCAAGGAGATGGTACAAACTAAAATTTTAAAAAGCGCAAAAATTTGAAGATTCGAAATTCACAAAAGTATCAGGAGAACATGATCAGCAAAGAGGTGGCGTATTAGGAAAACATAACCAGCAAGAAAATGGTATAAACCAAAATTTTAAAAAGCGCAAAAATTTGTTTTGAAGTTTTGAAGTTCGCAACAGTATTAGGAGAACATGACTAGCAAGAAGATAGCACAAACTAAAATTTTAAAAAGCGCGAAAATTTGAAGCTTCGAAATCCGCAAAAGTATCAGAGTATCAGGAGAACATAACTAGCAAGGAGATGGCATAAACTAAAATCTAAAATTTTAAAAAGGGCGAAAATAAGTTTCGAAATTCGCAAAAATATCAGGAGAACATGATCAGCAAAGAGGTGGCGTATCAGGAGAACATAACCAGCAAAAAAATGGCATAAACCAAAATTTTAAAAAGCGCGACGAAAATTTAAAATTTCGAAATTCGCAAAAGTATCAGGAAAACATAACCAGCAAGGAGATGGCACAAGGAAAAATGTCAAGAAGCGCGAAAATTTTAAGCTTCGAAATCCGCAAAAGTATCAGAGTATCAGGAGAACATAACTAGCAAGGAGATGGCATAAACTAAAATTTTAAAAAAGGCGAAAATAAGTTTCGAAATTCGCAAAAATATCAGGAGAACATGATCAGCAAAGAGGTGGCGTATTAGGAGAACATAACCAGCAAGAAAATGGCATAAACCAAAATTTTAAAAAGCGCGACGAAAGTTTCGAAATTCGCAAAAGTATCAGGAGAACATAGCCAGCAAGGAGATGGCACAAGGAAAAATTTCAAGAAGCGCGAAAATTTTAAGCTTTGGAATCCGCAAAAGTATCAGAGTATTAGGAGAACATAACTAGCAAAGGAGATGGCATAAACTAAAATCTAAAATTTTAAAACGGGCGAAAATAAGTTTCGAAATTCGCAAAAATATTAGGAGAACATGATCAGCAAAGAGGTGGCGTATCAGGAGAACATAACCAGCAAAGAAAATGGCATAAACCAAAATTTTAAAAAGCGCGACGAAAATTAAAGTTTCGAAATTCGCAAAAGTATCAGGAGAACATAACCAGCAGGGAGATGGCACAAGGAAAAATTTCAAGAAGCGCGAAAATTTTTAGCTTTGAAATCCGTAGAAGTATCAGGAGAATATAATCAGCAAAGAGGTAGCACAAAAATTAAAATTTCAAAATCCGGAAAAGTATCAGGAGAATATAATTAATAAAGAAGTGGCATGATCTAAAATTCCAAAAATTGCGGAAAGTTAAACTTTTAAGAGTATATTCAGTAAAGAGATAGTACACATTGAAATTAATAAAATGCAATTCTAAAAATATCTAGAATTTTAATTTTGGAATTTTAAATTACACAAATTTAAATTTTGAGATATCAGGAATATGATAGGCAAGAGAAAGGTAATACAAATAAAAACTCCAAAAATTGAAATTTTGAAAACTCTAACTTTATTTTCTTTTCTCATTTACAGTATAGTGAAAATTACAATTTAATTGTTCTTACAATTCATCTCTCAATTTTTACATATGATCATTATACAATTTATAAATTAAAAACTATTTGCGAGATCCACCGAGATAAAACAAAGGTATAGATCTTCACAGTTTCTTCCGTCCGGGCTTTTCCTTTCGGATAATTCACATTCGATTTATTCTCGGTGCAGGAATTTTTTCAGCCACTCACACTCAAAACTCGTTCTTCAGCATCTTCGACAAACACATTTTCGTATTAGAAACGTCAAACTTGAACGGATAAACTAATGCGCAATACACGCGGCAATAAAAATCAATACTTTTTAAACGTCTAGTAGTATATTAACGAAGAGTTACTAAAACGGAACATCTCTCTCGCAATGCAATTGACTGCAAGATAAGATAGCGAAACGAAAATTATCGAAGATGACCTTTTCCGTTCCGGGATCGATCAGGTATTATCGCATCTTATCGCGTATTCTGTCATATTCATCAAAGCGCATGTTCAAGGGATGGAGCAACGAGTGCCTCGAACTGGAACACGCGAAGCGGCACGAGTATTAATTTTATCTGTACCAAAAAAAGGATGGTTTTTGTTTGAGCAAACAAAAATCACTGATGTACGTGACCATTGACAATTCATTTCTTGGGATTTCCCGAAGTCTCCCTCGTGAATGTTCGATTTTCTGCGCAAGATGTCTTTGACATTTCAGCTGCGAAGATATATGTATAAGATTCTTCGACAGTTTCGTCGAATGTAATGTTTAAGGAAACAGGATCAAAAAGCGGAAAATTTTCTGCGATTTATAATATAATCTATAAGATTCCAATATGACTGGAAGCGAGATGAAAATATACCATATGGGGCGATTTAGCTTACAAGTCAAGCTAATCGTAATAGATCGTAATTCGAAACTAGCACTGCCATTAAACAGTCAACGACAAATTAATTAAAGCATTACAATATAGTTATCTAGGCTCGGGGATAAGTGCGACTTACGATGGCGATACTTATCCTAGCATGCGCAGAATATTAATTACGAATATTAGAAATATAACACTAAATTGTTTCTATATCTTCTACTAAGGATAATCTACTACCTCATGAACTGCAGCACAGAAAGCGCAAAACATCGATTTGCAATGAAACTTTCTAATTAACCGTGCAACTAGTATAATGACTAATATATACACACTACTGATAGAGACATCCTCTTCAGAAAAATCAGAGCAAAAGATTTGTGTTCCAGTCTAACGTGAACGCCTTTTCCGTATCTGGAACAGAATCTAACACGGCGCAATAATCCGCATGACTATTACGTCAAATGTCAAAGTGATGATGTGGGAAATCGAACGGATAAGACACGGAAATGGTCGCCTGTTGCGGGCAAAGAATAAAAATCCCGAAAATCTCAACAGCGTGGAAACGGCGTTTCTCTTCAACGTCGCGAACGCTCTTCGGAATTCCGGAGCGGCGGATCAATTCGAGCGAGAGCGTCGAGGGTGGCACCCTCGTTCGCGACGGTCGCTTCGAAACACGGGGGTGCCCTTGGCGTGTGCATATATATGTACATCGTGTGCGTGCTTATGTATGTATCGTGTATGACACGTAATACTCACGATTTCAGCCTCATCAGCCACGTTGGTACGGCGCACATTTTTTCCGCGTCATCCCGCTCGGCTTGGTCCCCGGCTTGGTCGCGGCTCCGTGTGCTCGCAGCCGGCGTACTCGATTCAAAGAGAAGGAAAGAGAGAGAGAGAAGAAAAGAGAGGAAGAGAGAAAAACGTCGACGACGACGGCGGCGGCGGCGGCCGCGCCGCAAGATCGAACCGACAAGGGATCTTCGGCGACGACGGAAGATGCGCGGGCGGAAGCTTATCTGCCTTCTGGAAACGAGCGGCGAACAACGACGGCGGCAACGGCGTCGGGCATCGAGAGAGGCCCTGCCGAAAGCGAAGGCGACTCACCTCGTACTCTCTCCTGCGGGCCGAGCTATTTCCAGCATCGATCCGTTTTCCCATCCGAGAAGAAACATGCGCGGCGGCCACCGCGCCACCCACCACCCCCGATGGCGACGCCAGCGACGGCGGCGATTCGAAGAATCGACGTCCGTCGCCGTCTGTCTCGTGGACGACATCCACGAAAGGCGAGGGGTCGACTTAGATTTACCGCCCTACTCTCGGGATCCATCGCTAGGTCTTGAAGATTCGGAGCGTTTGTTTCCCCGAGCGGAAAGAGAAGGGGGTTTCTTCTGCTTTAAATTGTCCTCTTGAGAAGATCAATTAAATTCGCGGAAATGAAATGAGACGTCGTTGACTTAACGATCGTTTCGATATCGATTAGTATATAATTAGGTTCCCGGTAATCTAGTTGTTCCAGAGTATGGACTCCGTATCCGGGCAGGGTGGCCTAATAATAAAATTAAGTGACGTATTGCTAGTTCTATCATCAATATCTCTTGACAGACCGATGACATCGCCACCGACATTACGTACGCAATGTTCGCATAACTTTCTTAAAAACAAAAATTTTGCATAAATATTAAAAGATGCGTCGAGAAAGCACGAATATTAACACTACGTTATCCCCTTCTTGTGAAAAGGATGCGATCCGATCAGTTCAAATCGCATGGAAAAATTAAGATAAACGTAAATTTTAAAGAAGAAGAGACGGGAATAAAGTCGGGTACGGTGCAGAAGTATTACGAGAGAATGATTCGTTATCGATGATCAAATATTTTCTTTAAGAACAGAAGTGATTATATAACATAGGTAGAGATGGTAAAGTTTTTAACAACGGAAAAACAATATATATTATCTTCTACAACCAGGACTCTCTTAGAACATATATTCGAGATTTGGTGTAATCTTGTGACTCTCGCAATACATGTGTGCGCGTATATACGACGTAGTATATATACATTTGTATATATATTTCTTCATCATACATATATTTCTTCTCTCTTTGAAATTGTACGTTTATTTTACACATAAAATTAATATATAATTAATAATAATACGAATAATAATAATCATAATAATAACAATAATTATACGAATAATAATGTACATACTTTCACCGTTGTTATTGTGTTTACATGTATTTGTTTACATAATCTTGAACGGCGATCAGAATCAGATGTATAACAATCATAATTGCGACATAATTAGACACCGTACAAGTTTGCCAAACGAGCAAACACCTGCTGTCAAAAATTTGATTCGCCGATTAGACATAAGATTCAAGACACATCCGCTGTTACATAGAGGATCGCGGGTCGACAACTGTCTGTCATGATCATTCGACAAAGGAGCACGGAATAACGATGATACAATCATGATAATAATAATAATTCGAGTATATTAATAATTAAAAAAATAATAATAATGATTTTCGCAAGAATAACTATATCCTTTCTCTTTTGCCTCTCTCGTTCTCTTTTTTCTATACAAGTGCACAATTATTTACATAATCAATATAATGACAAATTCTAAGGTGCCTTTGAGCGCGTTTTAAAACTTGGATCCTCTGGAAATAATCCAGAATTTATATATTTGGCACATCTCAGCTTCTTTTTTTTTTTTTGCGTTTTACACGCGATTCTGATACTTGGCACACGATATTGAATGACGGTCGCATGCATTGATTGGCTTTCTCTCTCTCTTGAAAAGATCGATTTTAAATACCTAAAAATGGAGATAATGAATTTTTTTTTTTTTTTACCGAAAGAACATCTTCTCTACATCTCGCGCGTTCGCAACTTACAACTGTTGTATGTTTCACATTGAATTTAGTGTATTCTCTTCTATCTTTTCTTTTTTATTTTTCTCTGAATCGAGACTAATGTTATACGGTTGATCTAATCGCGATACAGACTGTATCATACTGTAGCCCACCTGTTCGTCTCTATACGTACTGAACGACACATCTTTCGCCGAGAGTTTATCGGTGTCGTAAAGTAAAAAAAAAACGGAGAAACGAGTTACTTTTCTTTCCGATAATACACAATTATTGCTAACGCAAGGATACCTGCAAGATACACGTCGCGCACTTGCTACAATGCATTTACCGCACATTTACCGTTTAAATTTCCGAACGAAACGCCACGATGGTTTCTCTCTACATATACTATACTCCTTTATTTATTTTTTTTCTTTTTTATTTCGCGTCGATTTTTTCTATTCGTAGCGATACAGTGACACAGATAAACACCTTTTATCCTATTCGATCGCGTCTTACAATAATCGCTCCCTGTAAAAAAACACTCAGGAGAAACAATTGTTTTTTTTATGCGAAATTTCCGAGAGCTCTTGCATTTCCGAAACCACACAGTCGAGTCTAAGTTCTATTGCGTTTAACGAATCTACGGGTTAGAAACACACGAGTTTCTGCTCTCTAAATAAACACGGAATCGTCTAGGGCGAAAACGGTAAAACATATTAGCGAGTTTCGCAGTCTTCTTCGAGATCGCAGACGCGTTTCCTCTTGCGTTCGAAGAAATATATTGTGTATCGTTATGCTCGTGAGATCGTCGTTTCATATGTTTTTTTTTCTTTTTTTCTTCTTCTCTTTCTTTTTTTTTCTCTTTACAACAACAGCTTCCGTTTGCGGATATTAGAATATAGCAGAATCGGCAGAAAATTTCTAATCAACGGTCACGTGAAAAGACATGCGACTCTCTATGATCGTTTTGTGCAAGTTTGATGCATGTTACATATGCAATGTATGATATATATATTCGCGAGATAACGCAAGAAAAATTAAACCTACACGGATTTGCGCGTTATTTATGTTAATATCGTTAATATCGTTATTATATTCGCTACGCTGAATGGGATTTCTTTGAATAGGTCTGAGAAAGCTCCAGTTTTCTTTTTCCACTTATCAAAATTTATCAAAACGTATACGTGTGTATATGTGCGTGATCATAGAAAATTACACAGCATTTTTTCACGTGCCCCCGTTAGAAATTTTTCAACTTTTAAGAGAGACATCAGGTCAGGTACACTTCCTCACGTAGAATCACGGGCTAATATACGATAGAAGGAGCGAGACGCTCGGCAGATGTGCTTTGGCGCATCGCGGGATGATGCTTTTGTATATTCGCGTGTCTATAATAGTTAACCGTTTGTCAGTCTGAGAATATAACCCCGTAAATATACACTTCGGAAACTTCGTACAAACGTCTCTCAGCCTGAATTGACTTCGAGACGTTAAGGTAGATAGATAGGCCAAGCCGCAACAACCGTGTTCGAAATTCAAGCATAACTTAAACTTAAAAGTTTTTCGGCCGACGATCGTCCGTGATTTGATTACACGTTACTCAAATTCGAAACATGGTTGACGCGACCGAGCCTCGCAAACGTTCGCTATCATGGTAATACATAAAAACACGATATATATTTTTGCTTTTATACCAAACGCAAAGTCTGGGGGAATAGTCTGTAAAAGTGTGAGAATTTTTTGCAGATTATATTTGTTCTATTCTCCCCCTTTTCTCTTTTCTTTTCTCTCATTCAAAGACTGCTTCCGATGATCCTTTATTTCATGGCACCAAAGTACGACAACACACGCGGAAGACTCTGTCAGGCGGGTAGTACTTGCAATACAGTATAACCGGAAAGGAGGAAGATTTAAAAGATTCGCGTAAGAAACATAAAACTATGTAACAGGCACCTGTAGAAGAACCGGTCCACCGAAGCATTCTAGCAGACTCGCTTGAAGTCTTGCTTGGAAGATTGCTTGAAAGCACTTGTCTTGCAAACAGATAACCGCAATACTGGCCTCCGATCGCCGATTCCCTCCGAGACACATTCTCGGAAATCCTCGTCTTAAAGCGTAAGACCGCGTAATTACTGAAGAACCCAAGACGCAGGCACCCATTGAGGTTCCCTCTCGAGTGAGTTAATCTCCGTGAGTAATTGGTTATACGCCCGATCGGTATCGTTATTCAATATAAGCATGTCGAACAGGTGGCCATATTTATCCTCCATCTCGCGCGCTTTCTCGATTATGTCCTTCAACTCCTCTTCCTTGTAACTTTCGTTATTTTTAATCCTCTTCTGCCTCAGCTTTTCTAGACTCGGAGGCGCGATAAACACAACATACGGCTTCAGATCCGAATTTCGCAGGATCTTGAGACTCTGGGGATGTAGGTTTAAGACACAGATTTTCCCGGAATTAACCACTGTCCTGATGGCCTCCACGGACGTGCCGTAATACGCTTTCTCATACTCGCCGTGCTCGACAAACTTACGACAAAGGATATCAGACTCGAATTGAGCACGTGAAATAAAGTGGTAGTCCTGGCCGTCGACCTCGGAATCCTTTTTCGGACGACTTGTATCTGAAAATCAAAAAGCAGAAGATATTCATTCAAATGAATATTAGACGTATTTGTCCATAAAGAGAGATGTAGAAATATTAAATATCGATCAATAAAGTAAAATAGAATAGCACTTACGAGGAATCGCTGCGGCAAAACGTTCGCTGTCTTGCATCAATCTCTGCCTGAGTTCATGTCGTCCGATATTAGGAGGTCCGATAAGTACAATCGGCCTTTTATGATTTGCACGAGGATAGTATAAGGCGACTTCTTCGTATGTCAACACCTCCTCGCTGTCGTAATCTGCGAGAAAGAAGAAACATCGTACATTGAAGATAATCCCCGTGAGAACAATACAATTGATCTACTAAATCATCTGTTTAAGCTTTTTACGTACCATCTATGGCAGTTGTCGCGTAAAGAGGGTACCCGTCGTCATTGAAGTTCGCGCCAAACTTATTCCGTTTTTTCTTCTTTGGATTTTTTCTCGCGCACAATAGCGTGCTAGATTTCTTCGAGCCTCGCACTGTCGACTTGTCGCCGGCTATCGTCTGCTTCATGGATTCTCGTCTACAAGAATAAAACGGATATATATATCAGAATCAGAATAAGATTGCAGTTGAACATTAGCAATTAGAAGTTAACTCACTGATGCTGGAATGCTCTGCTAGGTATCAGACCGGCCAGAGTCTGATCTTCTTCGCCCTCTCGATATGCTTGCCACCAGTTCGGATCCTCTTGGGAAATTACGTGAAGTACATCGCCCTTTTGGAAGCTTACGCCTAATTCTCGGCAGGGTATATACGGATCTTCCTCTGGATCGTAATCGAAATGTGCTCGTATGTGTATCTAGATGCAAACGATAAAAGTTTTATGTGGTTATAAATGTTACGTGTTATACCTCCGCTTTACGTTATGATAGTGCAGTGGAAACTGGAATAGTTGTTTCATCGCTATTAGCGTCGTGATCTATAGATATTCCACACGCGTAGCTTACAAGTGTCAATGTCGCATTGTTAAAGAACAAAAGTCATTTGTTTATATGTGACATTTGTGCGCGCTCTTGTATGCGTGCATTCAATTTTAAATGTCCTAAGCAAATTTTAAAAAATAAATGTAAATAATAAAGTACCTTAAATGACATATCGGTTTATTCGAACTGAGCAGATGTTAAAATTATAAAAAGATGATCAGAGGTAAAACGATCAATGTCACTTTTTGTCTTGGAAAGTTAAAGGACAAACGTTTTCTCTGATCTGACATTTGCTCTTTCGTCTCCAACACAAATATCGCGTGTTCCAGTTTCAACATTTACGAATATGTAGTTCGCGTTTCCAGTACGAAGACGTGCACTAAATATATCAGGATACTGTACTGTACATCTGTGCTGTACCTGTGTCGTGTCTTCCCTCCTTAAATTATTTCTGTGACTCGTCGGTGCTGGAAGTACCAAGAACGTGAGACTACCCTGCATGCCGGCGAGAATATCGCAGACCTCATTAACGGTCTTGCCGCGCATTTCCACACCATTTACCTCGAGGACCTCGTCGCCCTCATGCAGGAGTCCCGACTTATCTGCCGCGCCACCGCGCACAACACGTCCTTAAAAGACATTTAAATATTATCCTTCTTAAATCAAACAATATAAAATCAGATTTCTTCGAGCCTCGCACTGTCGACTTGTCGCCGGCTATCGTCTGCTTCATGGATTCTCGTCTACGAGGATAAAACGGATATATATATATCAGAATCAGAATAAGATTGCAGTTGAACATTAGCAATTAGAAGTTAACTCACTGATGCTGGAATGCTCTGCTAGGTATCAGACCGGCCAGAGTCTGATCTTCTTCGCCCTCTCGATATGCTTGCCACCAGTTCGGATCCTCTTGGGAAATTACGTGAAGTACATCGCCCTTTTGGAAGCTTACGCCTAATTCTCGGCAGGGTATATACGGATCTTCCTCTGGATCGTAATCGAAATGTGCTCGTATGTGTATCTAGATGCAAACGATAAAAGTTTTATGTGGTTATAAATGTTACGTGTTATACCTCCGCTTTACGTTATGATAGTGCAGTGGAAACTGGAATAGTTGTTTCATCGCTATTAGCGTCGTGATCTATAGATATTCCACACGCGTAGCTTACAAGTGTCAATGTCGCATTGTTAAAGAACAAAAGTCATTTGTTTATATGTGACATTTGTGCGCGCTCTTGTATGCGTGCATTCAATTTTAAATGTCCTAAGCAAATTTTAAAAAATAAATGTAAATAATAAAGTACCTTAAATGACATATCGGTTTATTCGAACTGAGCAGATGTTAAAATTATAAAAAGATGATCAGAGGTAAAACGATCAATGTCACTTTTTGTCTTGGAAAGTTAAAGGACAAACGTTTTCTCTGATCTGACATTTGCTCTTTCGTCTCCAACACAAATATCGCGTGTTCCAGTTTCAACATTTACGAATATGTAGTTCGCGTTTCCAGTACGAAGACGTGCACTAAATATATCAGGATACTGTACTGTACATCTGTGCTGTACCTGTGTCGTGTCTTCCCTCCTTAAATTATTTCTGTGACTCGTCGGTGCTGGAAGTACCAAGAACGTGAGACTACCCTGCATGCCGGCGAGAATATCGCAGACCTCATTAACGGTCTTGCCGCGCATTTCCACACCATTTACCTCGAGGACCTCGTCGCCCTCATGCAGGAGTCCCGACTTATCTGCCGCGCCACCGCGCACAACACGTCCTTAAAAGACATTTAAATATTATCCTTCTTAAATCAAACAATATAAAATCATACGCGCGATAAATTTCTACGAATAAACTCTCCATCAAAAAAGCAAAATTATTACAAGAAAATTATACAGCTTTAATGTTATGATTACCTATGATCACCGCGTCCCCTTCGTTTCTGACGGTAGCACCCAGCGGTTCATTAGTTTTCTCGATTCGGATAATTTTAATGTTGTCGACCACCCGGGAGTCTTTCCAGCTGGACGTCGGGCTAGGCGGACCGCTGGGCGGTGAGGACGATGGGCTTCGCTTCCTTTGCAAACCGTCCACGTACGAGACAATGGAGTCGTGAGCGAGAAGCAGAGCTTCCATGTCATAACTTGTTAGAATGTTCGTTAACTCCTCCACAGCGGCTATTGTTTCTGCGCCGCCGACACCTGTTGAGGTTGCTGACGATTGCCATTTTTCCAAGATATCCACGCACTAAAACAAGCACATCACGCCGAAATATTATAATTAAATTATGTTAAAATGAATAAACGTATGCGTGTGACTATAATTAAAGTCTATAATTTAATTAAAAAATTGAAATTTATATGCTTGGATATAACAGAGAATCAGCGACGTTATTAAAATATTCGTAAGGCTTTATGAAAGCTCCTACCTTATGTTTATTAAATTATATACCAACGTGTCGCCTAACTTTATGACTAACTTTAGAATGCCTTTATGAAATTTTTAAACAAAAACTAATTAAAAGACATTAAATAACATGAATAATATTATAAATATTTACATATATATAGACGTTTTCTCTCCGTGTCTCTCCAATATATGTATATATGTCATTATAGTGTAAATTTTACATACATCTCGCGCCAAATTCGACGCGTCATCGGCATGATGTTTAAGAATCTTGCTCGCCCTCAGCCGATTCTTCAAAGCGTGACGTGTCGCCAAGGCAGACGCAAATTGATTTTGCACCAAAAGTGCGCGAACTGCCTTCAATTCGGTTTCGACACCTGGACCCGAAATACCGAGAGCACCTGAAATATTTTGTAGCTGGAGCTGCAGCCTTTCCAGCGTAGCAACTACTTCGCCATACGCTGAAATATGAAAAAGATATATTTGTTAGAGTTAGTTTTCTCGCTCGTGCCGCGGAACTCGCTGTTTATTCACGCTACACATATTTATTAAAAATTGTTGTTGATAAGATCTCATTTGTTTAAATTTAATGTCATGTGAACTTATGAGAGCGAATAACTAACAATACGATTCTTTCGAAACAAATGCAAGAAATTGTAACGCAAAATCAAAGAAGCTTAATGTATTATTAAGATGAGATTGCGCGACGCAGTTATTTCTTTTTTCAATTTATGCTCTTTTTAATTCAGGAAGATTTGCGGAAATGTATCTCATTGTTTGCGTACTGAGGGTTCGGGGAGGCTCCTTCACTTCTTGTACCGCGTTAGGAGTGGCATGAGTGACCCGGCTGACGGTGGTCACCTCGTCCTGTGCGTAGGCAAGATTTTCCTGGCCAGTGAGACTCGTCGCGTGGCTCTCCAAGGCTTGGAGCTTTTTAGATCCACGGAGAGAACGGCTGAGCATCTCCTGCCTTTCCTCTTCATCCTTTCGTTTCCGTAACTGTTCCTATAAGTGCAACATAAACGATCCATTTGCTTTACGAGAAATAAAAATATTTTCGAGATAATTTTAACTTTATGTCAGATGATAAAACTCCTCGCTTATATCCTGAAAACCGTGTAAAATATCAAAATTCTATCCGATGATTATTGAATATATCGGAGAGAGAGACACGTGTATCTTTATAAAATATTTCATATTTTTCAGAAAATTAAAAATATATAATTATTTAAATTTCATTTGATGTACGCATCTGTCTCTCTCTCCCTCTCTCAATCGTAACGTACAGAGTGTATCAATTTTCCTACACTATTCATCATTTATATA